AAATCCAAATACATTCAGGAAAAATGCCAAATAAATCTTCCTTATCAAGAGTAAATGAAGGGGCAGCTAGGTGGTGCAGTGGATAGAGCACTAGCCCTAGATTCAGGAGGACCTGAGTTCAAATCCAGCCTCAGACACTTGACACTCACTAGCTGCGTGACCCTGGGCAAGTCACTGAACCCCATTGCCTAGCCAAAAACAAAAAAGATTAAATGAGGAGAAACCTGTTCTAAAGGCATGCAGTTCCTTTGTGGAGTGCCAAATTCACCCTAATAGGCTTCTTGTTTAGTGACTAGAGTCAGAAAGATCGCCCTTCTAGGCAAGAATGCCAGAAAACTACACTACGAGATATTCCCTGAGATTGGGATTTGCTGTTAACATCTTAGAAAAACAAACTTGTTAAGGACTATTCATGTTGACTATTCCCTGACCCCCTTCCCAATGTCTCCAGAAGAGTCAGCTAGGGGATTAAATCCCACGTTTGTTAAGAAATCTTGACCCAAACACATACACACACACACTGCTAGTGCCTTCCCTATGAAATTACTTCTCATTTCTGATAGATAGGTAGATAGATAGGCAGATAGAGAGCTATATACATATGTATCTTAAGATATTTATGTAAAGCATAAGATATATATATATGTGTATGTGTATGTATATGTATATGTATATGTATATGTACATGTACATGTATATGTATATATAGCTCCCATTCTTACGTGAGCTCCTTGAGGGCAGAGACCATAATGTTGCCTTTTTTTGCATCCCCAGGGCTTAGCACAGTACTTGGCACATTATAAGCACCTAATAAGTGTTTGTTGATTCATTGACGCCATTCCATTGATGCCATACCACTCTCAATGCCCCCCGCCCCTTGCTATTAACTAAGTAATTCTAAAATTACACTGGTTAGGGCAACCTATCTTGTGAATGATGTTGTGGGGTATGCCTAAACGTTTTTTATCCATCATCTCCTATAGTTCCATCCCCAGGGCCTCCTATAATACTAGTAACATTATTGACGTGCCAGCCAGGAGGGGCTATGCTCTGGTGGTGACTTAGATGGAGTGTAGGAGCCTGATGCTTGAAAACTAAATTACAGGAAACGTGTGGTACCCTCCCAGGAGGCAGATGCTGGGACATCAATGCTAAGCAACAGGGAGGGGACAAAGCTCCTACAGGATACATGAAGAAACTCAAGCATTTGAAAGCCAGAACTGATCTTGATGAAGACTTTTAAGTAGAAGCTTGGTAATAAGCTTCAGGATCCCCTAGCAGGGCCTCTGATAACACGGCAGGGCCACGGCTCATGGGGTATGCTCACTCTACCAGGCAATAGACCAGAATATCCTAGGAGCTAAGGGATGTGCGATCCAAGGGCCAGAAAGGATGGAAGGATAGACAAGTCTACAGTCCATGCAGCTAGGGACCAACCAACATAATTGGGCACCCTGATGTTGGCAGCGCAGGGTAATACAAGGCATACCATGAGCCCTGGGTCACTGACACTCAGATTTCACTAGTTCTGTGTCCGAATAGGAAAGGGGAGCCTACAAACGGGCAGCAAAAAGTAGAGAAGAACCTCTGCAGTAAAGCCAAAGCCTCCAGTCCCCAGCCCATCAACATTCTGTCCTGGAGTGGGCCCAGTTTTTAGACATGAATGGACTTGGAATACTCGACTGCTTTGTGTAGGCAATGGTGCATTGATGGAAGACATGGGCGATGATCTTCCACAGGGCTCAGCTCAGATGGGCAAAGTCCCACCAACCCCACCCACACTGATTTCGAAACAATGATCTTGAGTCCAAAGTTGTAAGAGGCGGCGAGAACCCGGAATAAGGGGCGCTTTGGGGAAAGCGCAGATCAACAGCCTTCCAGCCCCGAGGAAAGTCTCAGGAGATGGAAGGGAGCCAGTTACCAGGACCCTGAAATTCAGGCTTCTCCGCCAAGAGACTTTGACAAGGACTAAGGCCCTGGATGAGAATTTCTGGGATGGGAACAATGGTCTACTTCCCAATCCCCATGCAGTTAGGTCTAGATTTTCATAAAAGGTATTAAAACAACCTAGACCATGACAAGCAGCTCAGACAAGGGTGGGGGGGAGTTCACTCAGCTGAAGTAACTCATTTTGTTCTCAATCCAAGTTCCTGTTGACTATTCTTCCCCTGTGTGACTAGTTACATTCCCCATCAGTATTTAATTTTGTTCCAGCATTGAATTGAAACCACCAGGGGACTGACCCAGAATAACTGGTTTTGTCCCCAAGTCGTATTCGGCACTCAGAGATGATCAGTCTACAGAGAAGCAAAAAGTAGAACATTAGATAAAATGTTGGACCAGGAAACGTTTAAGAAAGCATCGATACCTTTCCTGTTTATTCTAGCAGAAGCTGGTCAACTTCTTCCACGAGTCCAAGCCGAAAAGGTCAAGGATTGGAGAGAAGAGATGATGAGGCCTGCAGAGCACTGGGCCAAGACAGGGAAAAGCAGGAGTAGTTGTTCCCTGACATCTTTAAAGAGAGTCAGGAAGTGGAGTGAGGGCTGGGATTGCTTGAATAAGGCATTTTAAAGACCAGCCTGATAACAGGGACGGAGAGCTGCCTAGCTCTAGGAATCAGGATGCATAGAGTGCTGGGAAAGTAGGACAGTAATCTGATTGGAAAGGACAGGCACCATGTGAATGATTTCAGTGAGTTATGTGGGAGATCCAGAGAGTAAGGGACATGGGGGGTGTCAGCTGGGAAAGGGAATGATGGCAAAGAGCTGTTCTTCGTCTAATCTGAGGAAGATTATTGGGGGAAGGGAGCAAAGCCTAAGGCTGTGAATTGGGTTTCTATGCATGCAGGAGAGAGACGAACCATGGAAAACTATAAAATCCCATTCTGTCTGCACAGACTCTAAATCATGGGTTTCTGAGCTCTTCAATTCTCTTTTAGGAAGAGATTGCCTTCTTAGTGGGATATAGGGTGACCTAGGATATACAGGACATGCACCATTGCATCAGGACATTCCTTTAGGGGTGATACCATTCCTTCTTCTTGTTGTTCAGTCATGTCCAGCTCTGCATAACCTCATTTGGGGTTTTCTTGGCAAAGATACTGAAGTGGTTTGCCATTTCCTTCTCCAGCTTATTTGACAGATGAGGAAACTGAGGCAGTTAAGTGACTTGCCCAAGGTCACACAGCTAGTAAGCATCTATGGCCAGATTTGAAAGCAGATCTTAACCCTGTTGGCCTCAGTTCCTCAATCTGTAAAATGAGCTGGAGAATGAAATAGCAAACGACTCTAGTATCCCTACTAAGAAAATCCCAAACGGGGTCACAAAGAGTCAGACACAACTGAAAAATAACTGAACAACAACAACAGCTTCCTCACTCCAGCCCAGTGCTCCATCCACTCTGCCACCTAGCTGCTCAATTCCATTTCTACTCGCCTTGAATTACATTTATTTTAAATGGTCATATTTACTGCTGATTTCAGTTAAGCTTTAATGGGTTTCAGCTTTAGGAGAAATGGCACTGTTGTCACAGGGTTCGTCCGTACAACTAGTTATAAGACCATAGAAGAAACCTGAGAAGCCTTCTAGTTTATTTCCCTCCTTTTACAGGTGAGGAAACTGAGGCAGAGGTTTAAATCACTTGCCCATCATCACGCATCAAATATGGGTCAAAGGCAACATCTGATCCTGGGATCTCTGGCTCCAAAGCCAACACTTTCCCCACTATACCATAATGTCTATTATTGAGTATGTTTTGTAAAGTTACTTAAAGTGAGGTTAGGCACAGTGAGGTGAAACTTAGGATAGTTTTCCCACCACACATCAAACAACCAAGCGGAGTCCTAAAACATAGCAAAGTCAGCACTGGAAGATATCTGAAAGAATCCTCCCTAAGATAAATAATACAGAAAAAAGTGACTGACCAGTTAGTTATTCAATTATTAAGCATCTATTAAACATCTACCCTGTGGGCCATCTAGGTCTGAATTAGCATGCATAAAGAATCAGGTAGGTGGCCACAAGTATTCAAAGTCACACCATTTGAAGTTATAATTCTTTAAAATATGGTTATTGGTTCCAGTCCAATAGAAATACGCAGAGGGAACTGAAATGATGTGACTACTACACAGGATTCATTATTCACACTCATCAGGACCCAGCTCACTAAATAAATGTGTGTTGATTAATTGGTTTATTACTATTTTAGCCAAAGCTAAAATTTGGACCATTGAAGGTACTTTAATAATTGACAGTTGCTTGATTTTTTTTCATATCCTTGTTTTTGCTCCCATTTGTTTTTCCTAACAAGAATTTTGAACTTAGATTCTAATCCTATAATTAAATTAATAAGAAAGGGATTAATTTCCAAGACATGCTGATAAAATCTGATTGAATGTCCCAAAGAAAAACTGAACCACTCAGTCCAGTATTATGCAATTTTCATGTATGCAAAATTAACTATTTAAATCACTATTTGCCCTTGTAAGCATATCTTGACTTTTATGTACATAAAGGAGGATATTGTGCAAATGTTCTCTGACCTCTATAACTGCTCTGAATGATTCTGTGTTAGTCAATCAGTCAACAAACATTTGTATGCCAGCCACTGAGTACACAAAGAAAAGGAGGCAGATAGTATTACTGAAGATGTTGCAAGCAGTTTGCCAATTTTGAACTCTGGGAGTTCTTCCAAATGCCTAATTCTTTGTATTATCTTCACAATGGTGATATTGGAAGTCAAAACTATTGTCTGCTCAATAATCAATGTTAGATCAGGATTTTACTACATGTGACTTAATAACTGTGACTGAATAACTGTATTATAATAGGGTGCCACCATATATAGTTTATTATTTAATCGACCCAAAAATCATGTTATCGATATATCTGTACAGAAAACATATGTATATCAAAAATATGTATCAAATGATAGTGTCAAAATGAAGATTCCATAAACTCTAACAATATTCAACGGGGTCTTCCATTTGTTTATTTTAAAGCCAGTCTCTGAAAAATGGACGACAAAAATTTGTTCAGACAGGAATTAGTGGATGTTGATGGAGTTCCCCTCTTCCGGACCACTGCAGAAGCGTGGTCGGAGGTAGAAGGATTTGAGGCCAGACCAGATGACCTTCTCATCTCCACCTATCCCAAATCTGGTGAGTTCTGTCCCTTCGCTAAGACAAGCACAAGACATTTATAAAGACAATGTGCCGCTGTGGTTGGAGAGCTGGCCTCCAACTCATAAGGATGGTTTAGGTCCCATTTCTGTCACATACTGCCCATGTGATACTAAGCCAATCACTTCATCTCTCAATGCTCTACATCAGAGGTGTCAAACATGCAGTCATCAGGCATACATGGCCCATAGCTCTCCAGAGTATGGTTGGAACCTGATTAAAATGGAGTTCCTATCTGATTTTTATACATTGATGTGTTAATTTAAATATAGATATAGATATATCTATATATGTATGTGTGTGTTGTTCTAAGTCAATACGCAGCCCACAGAAATCCTCATGTATGGCTTAGGGGCCATTTCTATTTGAGTTTGACCCCACTGATCTAGACAACTCTTTAAAACTCTAAATGATTTTCCTAAAGCTCAGATCTCACCATGTCATCTCCCTACTCAATAAACTCCCATGACTTCCTACAACCTCCAGGATCAAATATAAAGTGCTCTATTTGACATTCAAAACCCTTCATAACCCGGCTGCCTACTACCTATCCAGTCTTCTTCCACCTTACTCCTGGTTATGTCCTCTTTGATCCAGTGACACTGGCCTCCTGGCTGTCCCATCAAGAAGAATAGCTGGTTTGTCCCCAAGTCATATTCAGCACTCAGAGATGATCAGTCTATAGAGAAGCGAAAGGTAGAACATTAGACAAAATGTTGGACCAGGAAGCATTTAAGAAAGCATCGATACCTTTCCTGTTTATTCCAGCAGAAGCTAGTCAACTTCTTCCACGAGTCCAAGCCAAAAAGGCCAAGGATTAGAGAGAAGAGATGATGGGGCCTGCAGAGCACTGGGCCAAGATGGGGAAAAGCAGGAGTAGTTGTTCCCTGGGAATAGGTACTTTTATTATCCTTATTTTACAAATGAGGAAACTGAGGCAAACCAATGTTAATAGACTTGTCCAGGGTCACATAGCAAGTAAGTATCTTAGGTGGGATTTGAACTCAGGGCTTAGTGACTCAAGGACCAGTGCTCTGTTCACTGAGTACTTAGCTGCTTTCAGTTCCCTTGTGTGAAAATGTTTTTTTCCTAATAATCACGCTTCCATAAAACTAAAATAGGTCTTTTTCTTAATTTAATGAATCTAATTTCTGTAATTTTTTTTCAGGTACCACTTGGGTCAGTGAAATCTTGGATCTGATCTACAACAATGGGGATGTGGAGAAATGCAAACGAGATGCTATATTCATTCGGGTCCCTTTCATGGAACTGATAGTGCCTGGATACGTAAATGGTATTTCCAGTGAATGTGTCTTTATTTTAGAAGAAATCAACATTCCCATACTCTTCCCATCATCTGTAGAGCAGACATTATGAAAAGTTATGGTGGGAAAAAAATCTGCAAAGCTAAAGAAAGGCATAGAAAGCTAATCCAATGTAATCTGAGCAAATTACAAAGTATAATAAGCTGATTATCAGATAACAGCAGTGAACTCTCTCCCTTCAATATGCAACCTCTTGGTGGTTAAGTAATAAGAGAAGCAGGAAACATCATTTCACCGGCCAAGAAACACATCACTCCCTAAGTGCACATCTAAAGATTTTTAGAGCTTTGATCAGATCCTAATGGAAAATCTTGAATGTGCTTATGAAGCCTTCCCTAATTTTGTTATACAAGGAAGCTATCCCCAGAAGTAACAAGAACCCAAGCCAAGTCTTTGTTTCTCAGCAGACCCTTCTCATATAACAACATCCTCCCCCTTGCCTTTGTTAGCCATGGTCAACCATTACTGCCTAAGGCTCTGCCTCCGCTAAAGCAAGCCTGTCTTCCTGACCTTTCCTGGTGCTGTCAAAACTTGTCCCATGACCTGTTTCCCAGTTAAATAACACAAAGGATAGAGCACTAGACTTAGCATGGAAGACTGAGTTTAAAGTCTACTCAGACACGTCCAAGCTCTATGATGCTGAGCAAGTCTCAGTTTTCTCTTCTATAAAATGGGGATAATAATATCATCTGTCTCAGAGGGTAAGCAGCAAATGACATAATGTATGTCAAGCACTTGGCAAATCTTAGAGCAACTCTGTGGGCAATCATCCTCTGTCTAAACATCTTGCTCTTTCATTTGAAAAGCAGCTGCCATAGTGGATTGAGCACTGGACTCGGCATTAGGAACCCTGGGTTCAAAGCCCCTTTTGACACTGGAGTCAATATAGGTCAAATTCTGACCTGTATGAGCTGTGGAACCAGAAAGAACTCAATCACACTAAACCTATTTCTTTAATCACAACAAGATAAGCATGATGACACATGTTTGTAGGATTGGGTTGTGGTAAGATAAGGGCCTGACCAATCTTAAAGTGTTAGAGAAATGTGAGCAACTATTCATTCACTTCATGAGCAATCAATTTCCCCATCATTTCTCTATCTGCAAAATGGAATCGGTAATGGCTTCCTCTAACCACCAAATGGTGGCATGTTTAAATATGAATGAAATATTTATTGGTGAAACATATAAGCCCCTAATGGAATTGTTTAGAAAAACAGCTGAATAAATAATGTAGAAGCCAAGTATAACATAAATAATTAATATGTGGATTTGGATATATGGCAGCTAGGCAGCGCAGCGCACCTAGTCAGGAAGTGGGCTTAGAGTGCTGGGCCTAGAGTCAGGAAGACTCATCTTCATGAGTTCAAATCTGGTCTCAGACACTTACGAGCTATGTAACCCTGGGCAAGTCACTTAACCCTATCTGCCTCAGTTTCCTTAACTGTAAAATGAAGGTAATAATAGCACCTACCTCAGAGGGTTGTTGTGAGGATCAAATTAGATCATATCTGTAAAGTACTTAGCACAGTACCTACATAGTTGGCTTTATTCCCTTCTTTCCTCCCCTGATGAAGGTCAGCTCTAAGACGCTGCTAAGTGACATAGTAGATAGAGCACCAGGCCAAGAGTCAGGAGAATCTAGATTCAAATCTGATCTCAGACACTTACTAGTTGTATAACTTTGGGCAAGAAACTTAACCCCATTTGCCTCAAAAAAAGAAAAGGAAAGGAAAGGAAAGGAAAGGAAAGGAAAGGAGAGGAGAGGAGAGGAGAGGAGAGGAGAGGAGAGGAGAGAAGAGAAGAGAA